TTTTTTGATATCCAGGTATCCCAACTTACACTAGACTAAATCCTGTACCCCCAAGACCCTTGCCCCTAGAATCTTGGAGGGGGTAAATCGCGGGTTATACCTCAATTGGATCACAGGTTCCCCCCACCGCTTGTACACTTCTGCGCACAAGAGATCCTCCTCCAAAGTGATTGCTCCATACCAAATAAATTTGGCCGCAGATTTCCACCAGGATTCGAACCTCCACCCTGCCGCTGGATCTGATAGGAGGTCAAGCCTCACATCCTTCTGATTTTTGTTTTCATCGATAAATGCTCCATTTCGGCTTTTGTTTAATCTTTATTATTTTAAGGGGAAAAAAACAGCCTAGTGGAAAAGGATTGGAAAGGGCGGACCAGACTTTCAAGTTGAGTGCTCGGAGAATCCCAATAATATCTCACATTTATCAACTTTCTTGAAAGAATGGCTAGTTTTTCCTCCTCAAAAGTGAACAAGAATGCGAACAACTTTAGTTTAGGAAACTAAAGTATATTTTAATCCAAGTGTTGATTAAACTCGTAGCTCCCCTTTCTTCAATAGGCCAAAGGTAATTTTTGGATTATGAAGTAGAATGTCTTATGTCCATATGAAGAATATAGTAGAAATGAAGATGTCAAAGTAAATGAATAGTATTAGGTAGTGGCGACTCTAACTATAAATGAGGTAGGTGATTGCTTAAGACCTCGCTTTGATGAGGGCATCAAATTATGCAAAGTTAATTGATTGGATGAAAAAGGAAAATAAAAATTATATTTATGAAATTCTTTGAAAAAGAATTATCATATGCAAACACAAGAAATTAATAAAAATTGCAAAATACAAATATCTTTAAAATATATATATATATATATATATATATGGAATAAAACGTAGAGTAATGCTATAAATGATTTATTTAATTCCACATATTATTTAATGCTACACTAGCACCACATAGTAGCATTACTCTTTCTAACTAATTTGACCCATTATCTTTCAAACATTTATTTTCTTTTCTTAATCCAATACAAGGTCTCTTTATTTCTTCAAAATTCACGTCCAGGAGTCACCCACCATAATTTTATTTTATTTTTTTTCAACTCAACAAGAAATAAATTATCTCCCATTGAATTAAAATTTTGAAGATTCCATTTAGCTGATTGGTCTGATCTCTCTATTATTGTTACGGTCTTATAAGTTTTTTTCTTTCTATCTTATCTTCAAAACATATACTATAGAATACATAGGTTGGTATTATTATTGCTTTGCTTTAATATCATGATAATAATCTTTTTAAATGTTTGTTGAAAGTACTTTGAATTTAATAATTATTTGTCCGTATTCATACTTTTTATTTGTAAGTTAATTTCTTATGTATTAATATAAAATTAGAAGCTTATTTGTATTAGATCATCATTTTCATTATTTTCTTACTATACTCTTATGGTCAATATTCTTTAATTTTGTAGATAAATCATTCAAATGCATATTCAATTTTGTTTGAAATAGTTGAAAGGAGAAAATGATCGAAGAAACAAACAGACCCTTTTGTCATTGCATTGTAATTCTATTTGCCAAATTTCACTTATAATTTGGATTGCATGTTGAAAAATGACATTTTGTTATTTTCCCATCAAACTTTGGAGCTTAGTAGTCTATATCAGATTCTTTATAATTATAATAAAACTCTATGTACAAAGGATCAAAATATAACGGTTCCATATTTGAAGTTGGTATTTGACCCCCCAAAATATTAGGGCCGGCAACTATGAAGAATAAAGCCCATGTTTATTCTACCAATTTAGCAAATTTTTAACAAAATTTGATAAATTTGAATTCGAATTTTTATATAAAATAATTGAGGCCCAGAAATACAAATGTAGACCGACTACCCTTCCTAAACAACTCCTCCAACTACAAAGTATATACTCTTCAAGAAGCGTGTCAAAAGAACATAATGCCCCTTGCAATAAATCAACAAAACCTAACACTTTCTCCACAATAAAGAGACTTCTCAACTGTCATACTCTTCATTGCTTTCTTTAGAAAACTAGTCACAACATCTCCATTGAGCAAATTTATCTAGTGATCCTCTGCATTACGTCTTTGACATTCGAGGAATCAACGTTCGTGCTGAGATTACGAAAGTAGTGTTTTTTTTTTTTTTTTTTTTTTTTTCTCTCTCTTCTCTGGCCCAAATTTTTATTCATGCATTGGATGCAAACAATATTGGGCCACGTGGGGCTGAACTTGCGCCCCCTATTGGAGGGGGCATCGGCACCGCCTCAATTAGGCCCCCTGTTTGGATAGGGCCTACGCCTTTATTCTGGGAAAAGATATTTGGTGATAATCCGACCCACCAAATTACTATGAAATATTATTGTGACGTAATAGAAATTCAACGAAGGACATATTCAACTTCTCATAGAAAAAGTCATGAATTGATGGGATATTTCCCTTATCAAAGAAAAAGATATTTGGTGATAATCAGACCCACCAAATTACTATGAAATGTGACTGTGACATAATATTCATTCACCGAATAGAAATTCAACAAATGACATATTCAACTTCTCATAGAAAAAGCCACGAATTGATGGGATATTTCCTTTCTTTGCTGTTATAATGATCCTACCACAATATATTATAAAATCAATAAAGTCATAAATCCGAAAAAATTTAACAAAACTTATACTGATGTTGATGTGACAAAATCTAAGTGGACTGCTTCTCTTTTTTTTCCATCTTCAATTATGTCGCGTTATGTGTTGTCTATAAGATTTTTTCGTCAAAAAATTCTATATTTGTTGCATGATTTTTATAAAATAAATGGATCCCGATTCTCAATAATTGATATAAAAAATACTTCTGTAAAAAAGTAGAACCAGAAATGGAAAAATAAAAAAATAAAAATATATGTCAACAAATAGATATGACATGGATTCAATGAATATTAGAAGAGATTATTTAAGTGATTATGACAGGTGTTTTTATAAATCTAAAAATAATCTCTAGTATATAAGAATGATACAATATAACTATTTAGTTAAAAACTTGGTTAGTCCCTGGACTTCACATCCTGTGCAAAAAGGTCCCTAAATATTAAAATATACATTTTTAGTTCTTCAACTTGACAATGTGAATATTGTTTTGTCTCTGTTATTCCAATTAATGGATTTTACGAGTTGGCACCCGTCAATTAATTTAGTCTAATTCAGCATCTAAAAAACTTGATTGGTCCTTGTACTCTAAAATGTAATCTTTTAGTGCTTCAACTTAATCATGTTTACAAATCAGTCCCTTGTAAAAAATTTTGAAGAAATATTTCTTCAGATATTTCAATTTGTAGATTTTATTATAAATCTTCTAATAGATGTAAAAATTAAATAAATAAAAATATAGAAAATAATTTATGTAGCAGATTTCAAATTTAGAGTTTGTTTGGATTTCATTATAATCTCTTTTTATATTGAAGTCAAAGTCAAATATTAATTTTAATCGCAAATTTATTATTATTACTTACTTACTATTTACACATGAGTCATCACTCATCTTCATTATCCAATGAAATCCAAACAAGTACTTGGAAGAATACTAGATTTATTAGTATTGATTTTGAAATTTTAAAATTATTTCATATAAAAGCATTTTTAATTCAACTCATCTCTGTGTGTGTGTGTATATATATTCTTTTATTTTGAAGTCAAAGCCAAATATTAATGAGTCATCACTCATCTTCATTATACAATGAAACCCAAACAAGTACTTTGAAGGATACCGAGTTTATTATTGAGCCGTGCTGTTTGACCAGGGTCAAATTCTAGCCAAAAAACAGGGTGCCCATGTGCCCCCAGTTGGGATTTGACTCTAGCCAAACAGGTTTTTCCTTTATTATTATTGATTTTGAAATCTTAAAATTATTTCATATAAATGCTTTTTTCATTCCGTGCATGTGTATATATATATATATATATTCACACACATTGACCAAAGTGTCTAACGGCCTAAAAGTGAAACCTACCCCTCAAGCATTTCATCGCATAATCATAATGAAACCTGCAATGAAAAGATTAAAAAGTTTAACCTAACCCAATTTTTCATTAATCTAAGTTTATCTTTTCATCTCTCAGATCTTAAATGCATTAAGAAAACCGGAAGACATGCATGTTTGGATAAGTCCAAAAATTACTTAAATTTAGTTTTTCAAGTAAGTTGTGTTCTTTTTTTTTTTTTTTTTCGATATGTAGTTTTATGTGCCTATACTTTTGGAATGGTAATGTGAGGTTAAAAGGTCAAGAGAAATTTTTGATTTACGTGCAAAATATTTTATTATGAAAATGTATGATTGAAAATGAGTTTTAGAAAAAAAAAAAAAAAAAAAGGAATTTTTGAAGAATGATAGACAAACAAGGACGAATTAACATTTTTCTTATTTATTAAGTCCCGGGTTGGTGGGAATTAAATTCAAAATTTCAGTAAATTTTGATAAAATTAGCCCCCATTTGTTTCTCATTTTTGGAAGAATGAGAATGAAAAATATAGTCGTTATAGTCCACACAAGAGATAGAAATTCAAATTTGATGGATTGATGTGATATATAACAGTCATATTTTTCATTTTAATTAGAAAAAAATGTGAATTTCATGAATATGTAATTAAAATTAAAATTAAAATTAAAAAGTATAATTAATATAACCATAAAATAAGAATTACTTAATAAATTTTTTTATACTTAACCAAACAATCGTAAAGAAGTTGGAAAATTAGAGCAAATGAAAGCGACATATACGTGGATGAAAATAGGCGGGTCGGGGTGCACTCATCAAGACACGTGGACAGTCAGTATCCACCCTCTTGCTTTTCCACGGGCCTATAAATACGGGTCATGGGCGTTCCCATTAAAATCGTCCTACATCGAAATCGTCTTATCCTGAGTGAATTTTCTTTCAAATCATCGAAAATGTCTTGCTGTGGAGGAAACTGTGGGTGTGGCTCTGGCTGCAAGTGTGGCAGCGGCTGTGGAGGGTAAGGATGCAGCCGAGTCGCTCAATTTAATTTAGTAGTTCGTATTCATGTCCTAACCAAAATTTTCATATATTTTGGTGCAGATGCGGTATGTACCCAGATTTGAGTTACTCGGAGGCCGCCGCCACCACCGAGACTCTGGTTCTCGGCGTTGCTCCCCAGAAGACGTATAATTTCAATTTAATTAAAGGCTTTTTTTTCTTGTACAAAAAAAAAAAAAATAGAAGAAGTGTCTAAAATTGGTGTTTATTTTTCAGATATGTTGAGGGATCTGAGTCCGAGATGGGTGCGGAGAATGGGTGCAAGTGCGGCTCTGACTGCAAGTGCAATCCATGCAATTGCAAATGAGAGACCGGAATTTGAAGCAGAGATGGAGAAAAACGTATTAGTTTAATAATTTGTGTCTGTGTTAATAGGAGCAAATTGATTACATCTTCTAAGTATGATGAATTAATTGTGTTCCTTGTAATAAAAGTGCTGCTTTTGTGTTTATGACTGATTCTGTTTGGTCTTTGTAACTTTCTCTGCTTCTGTTTGGAGTTTCCTCTAGATAATATTAAAAGAAAGAGGGAGTCTGGTTGAATTAATTAATGCATGAATGAACACTCCTTTTTTCTGCTAAATCAGTTTTTATTTTTTCTATATTTTTTTCTGAAGTTTGATTTGGATTCAGTTCTCTCTTAAAATGATCGTAAAGATCATTTTCCCCTTCCATTCTTAGATCAAATGCTTGAATGATCGGCTGGACAATCTCATTATTGCTTCATGAACAGATATTGGGGAATAATCAAATTCCAATGGTCCTGAAGGAGGTAGAAAAAACCATTTACACATGCCCAGATGGGATATTTGCATTTATGAGGATGTTTTTTTGGGTCTTTGCAATGAATCCGTTAGCTATCTCTAATATGGTTGAGAGATTTTTTGAGATGTTCATGGATGATTTCCTCGTGGTTGGGGCTTTATTTTGATGAGTTTTTGAGAAATTTGGGCATGGTCTTCAAGAGGTGTGAAGAGACAAACTTGGTACTTAATTAGAAAAAAGTTTTATTTTATGATTCAAGAATAATTAGAAAAAAAAAAATTTATTTTATGGTTCAAGAAAGTATTGTACCAGGCCATCGAATTTCACATAAAGCCATGCCATTGATAAGTTTACCTCCTTAAATTTCGGTGAAGGATCAAAATTTTACATGCATTTTATTGATTATTTCTCGAAGATCACAAAGCCACTTTGCTCTTTGCTAGAATTCTTTTTCTGTTGATAGTGTCTTCAAGTTTTTAACACTCATAAAGAAGCTCTTTGCTGGAAAAAAAAAAACTTTCCATTCATTTTCTCTTGAGAGTGTCTTCAAGTTTTTAACATTCAAAGAAAAGCTTTTCACTGAATTGGAATTCTTCTTTTGAGCTTATGTGTGATGCAAGTAACTATGCTGTATGAGTGGTTTTCGGGGAAACTAGGGATAAAGTCTTCCATGTGATCTATAATGCTAGGCAAACATTGACGGATGCCCAATTGAATTATGCAACTACTGAGAAGGAAATTTTGCGGTGGCATATGCATTTTAAAAATTTTGGTCTTACCTCACTAGCTTTAAAGTTATTGCCGAACGAATCATTCGACTCTTTAATATCTGCTGGCAAAGAAAGATGTCAAATCAATGTTGATTCATGGGTTCTTCTTTTTTTCAATAGTTTGACTTGAAATTTTGAGACAAAGAAATTCTCAAGTTGCCGATTATCTATCCCCAACTTAAGTAATCTGAGAAGATGGAAGTTGAAGAGATAAAATAAGTCCTTTCAAGATGAGAAATTTCTCCAAATCCTCCATCTTCTACAAGTTTCCGAGGCACCATGATATACTAATTATGTGAATTATTTAGTAAGCAATATTGTTCTACCGGACTTCTCCTACCAACAATGGAAGAGATTATTTGTTGATGTGAAACACTACTTCTGGAAAGATCCATTGTTATTTAAAAGAGGGACATATCGAATAAATAATTCAATGATGCTTGTCGGAGGATGAAACGGAGAAAATATTAGAGCATTCCATTCATCAGCATATGGGGGCCATTTTGGTCCCATGAAAACATATTACCCAATTTGGATTCTTTAGGCTCACTTTATTCAAGCCTGTTCATGCATTTGTATCCAAATGGGATCATTGTCAAAGGAGTGAAAATATCTCATTCTATTAAGTTGTATTTCCTTATCAATTTTCACTTATGGACTTTAACTTGATTTTGCCCGAGTACTAATAAAGTGTAAGTTTGGCGAGATTGATAGTAAGTGCAATTCTTACACTTATTTATAGTTATTTACTTATACAAATGTTAGTTTATTCCTCTTTTTTCTATTGAGTTTTCGTTGTTTTATAATTTTTAGGAGACGAATGTGTGCATTAATAGAGAATGAAGGGTCGTGGATCAAGAGATGGAAGTATGAAGCGAAAATCAAGATTTAAAGATACGTGCCGAGGCTCGGGGATTGAAAAGATGCAAAACAGGATAAAAAACAAGATTTAGACGGAAATTTGTTGCTATAACCTTTTCAAACTTGGGCAATTTCTACATTTTGCTTGTCAAAGAGGACATTTAATAATTTCAACTTACTCATAATGCGCCTACTATCGCTAAAACACGTTTTATGATAGAATACAATTGGATTAGTTTAAAAATTCAATCTCTATTTTCTTTTTCTTTTTTTTTTTTATCAATTTCGATACCTCGCCACTACAATGATGATTAAAAATAAACATATTAAATATAACTAAAATACATTTGGCACATGTTTCTGTTCAAACAAAAATCTTCACGAAACAATTTCCTCTATAGCTAAAGATACTCATGTTGGTGGCACTAATCAATACTTTAAAAAGAAAAAAAAACACAAATAATATATTATTGTGCAATTCAAAATCTAACCCCCTAGAAACAAAATAGTGCTGTAATAGTAAATTCATTTTCATTTTCAAGTTTCAATGAATTTTATTAAAAAATTATTAATCTTGAGCAAAACAGGTTACCGATTTCCAACAAAAATGATCCTTTTTCCACAAATTAATATTTTTTGAGGTTATCAATATTATAATGACACAAGAAAAGAAAAGAAATTAACTAGATTTTGTATTTTTATAAGCAATAAAACTTAATCCAACAGTAAATTTTCAAAATGGGCTTGTAAAATTCCTAAAATCTGAACCGTCTACTTGTTCTTAATCCAACGGTGAATATGAAATTGATGAAAATATGATCGTTGTGAAGAATTCATTTTTATAAATCAACTCCTTGTAGAAAGAGAGGCGATGAGTCTTCTGGGTTTTTCTCTCAGTGTTTTAGGCGATGAGTCGAATGGATTCAAGTACTATAATAATCAGTAAATTATCCGAAAAACGGGTGAGTCACTTTTTTACAATAACTTCTATAATGTCTTTAGCTATACGATTATTATTTTTGTTATTCATTCATACACTGATGAAGTATTGTTTAAATTCACGGTTTTGTTCTTTGGTCCAACTGATGATCAAATTGGGTTTCACTGGATTTGTTTTTGTGAATTTACTGAGGTTTTTCATTTTATGGTTCTTTCTGCAATTCTGACCGTTGTCTCCAGGTTTTTTCATCAAGAAGAACTAGACAAGGATTTTGAAGATGGATTCAAGTGCTGTTCTAGAGTAACAGAGAATTAAGTTAATAATAAGATACTCAACAAAAATCAGATCAGTCACATTTTCACGATAATTTCTCTAATTTCTTTGAGTATATGATGATAAATGGGGTTTCAAGGGATTCTGTTTTTGTGAATTCTCTGAGTGTTTTCATTGAATCTCTAAGTTTTCGGATTCAACAATTATGTTCTCTCTTGTCTCTATAATTTCTTTATCTGTACAATAGTGTTCTTTGTTGGTTCATTGGGATGAATCTTGTAAGTTATTTTCTGGATTGAATTGATGATCAATTTTGGGTTTCAGAATAATTATTTCTGTGAAATCTCTTTGGGTTTTTGCTGGATCTTTTATGGTTTGTTTTTGGTGTTTCATTTTTATTCAATGAATGGCTATTTCAGCAATTGTGTGCCTAGAGTGATAATGTCCCCTGTTTTTGTCTTTACAATTGTGTTCTTTTTTTGGTGTATTTGGATGGAACTTGTCCTTTTGGATTGATAATCAATCTTGGGTTTTACTGTATCAGTATTTATTCTATAAATTTTTATATGGGCTGAATCTTTAATGGAATTTGTGTTTTGTTTGAATATTGATAAGATCGGCTTCCATTTTCATTTTATGTATACTGTATCTGGGTAATAATGTCCTCTATTTTTGGCTTTACAATTGTGTTCTTTTGTGGTGTATTTGGATGGATCTCGTCCTTTTGGATTGATGATTAAATCTTGGGTTTTACTGTATTAGTATTTGTTCTATACATTTTTATATGGGCTGAATCTTTAATGGAATTTGTGTTTTTGTTTGAATCAATATAAGAGATCTGGCTTTCATTTTCATTTTATGTATACTGTATCGGAGCGATAATTGTTGAAATTTTGCTGTAAATTTTGTATTATTTGGTGAATGGAAAATTAAGCCAAAACTTAAATCACTTAAATTCGTGAATTATTGGAAAAGTGCGTAAAATTATTTGGCTGAAAAGATGTTTTTCTATATGAAAGATTATGACTTTTGACATTATCATTTTTCGAGAGACGTGTCTCTTTAAATATGGAGATGAATTTCAATGGTTGCGTTTCTTCCATAGGTTTTGTATCTTTTGAGACAAGCCTTTTCAACATCTATATATTGACCCCATATGTTTGGATTTATTTAATTAGAAATTTCATTCCATTCCATATTTTACACTTTATTATGCATAAAACATTTTGAAGAACTGATTATATTTTGTATCAAAATCATGGTTATGATAGAGAGGAAATTTCGTTCGGAGTTTGTTGGTCGAAACCATTTGGAGTGCTCCTATGACTTGATGTGGTCGTTGTATTTTGGGAGATGATTGTCTGAAAACCGTTAGCACCGATGCGAGGTAAATTCATCTTAAGGTTATACTCGCCTCGTGCATTTATATTTTTCATTATTCTGTTTGCATGAACAAAGTATTAAATAGATTGGATGATAAAATCCGATTGCATTAACTCGACACAAATTTATGTTTTACGTGCACACGAGAAACTATTTTGTTATTATATGAATTGTGTCTTAAGTGTCCATGCCATTGATTTGTTTAGTATATGATGAAAGTGAAGTATTATATATTGTTAATCAATATATATTGTGACCATTTCCATTCTCAAATTAAAACATGTGATTTTTTATATATTGCACATGGTTGCAATTTTTAATCATATATATGTACGTTAATATGTGTCTTTCCATAAGTTAGTCAAGGACCATGAAGTTGGTTTATTTTGAAAAAGTGCACGTGGTTTTTATGACAATTTATGAAATGATGACTCTTCATTTTCTAAATGCATTTTCAAATCCAATTTCGTAATCTATCATCAACTTGGTTATCCTATCAAATAATATGACATGTATATTTATTTAATAGAATTTATATATGTTGGTCATTAGTACAACTCCAAGTTATTGGAATAGATGTCAACTAATTGTGAAAACATATGAACTTTCATGACTATTCTTTTATTGGAATTAGTTGGTTAAATTTTTATATCTTATTAAAATTATACTAACTTTGATTAAAGTTGATAGCCTCATTTAATCCTATGGAAGTGAGATGACTTTTATGCCAGTTATATTTGTATAAAGTATGACAAATTGTGATTTGTTTTAGTGAAAATTGTTGCGAAAACATTAAGACAAACTGTACCTAAAGTTGGCAATGGTGTTGAACTTCCTTTAAATCTGGAAAAGTTTGAATGTGATGATTTAGTTAAATTTCTGACTTCAATAAAATTAAATGGGATGATTTGTGCAAAAATATATAGTGCATAAGAATATGACAAAATGTAATTTGTCCTAATTTGATTACTTGGAATTGGTGGAAAATTATGAAAGAATATTATGAAATATTCTAAGATCAATTTAGATGAAAATGTGCATAATTTCATATCAAAAATCACGACTTTCGATATAATTATTTTTCAATGGGTTTGTCTCTTCGTCGAGATTATTTCAAGAGGTGTGTCCTTTTGTAATGTTGTGTCTCTTGAGAACACAAACTATCATGCGAAATGTCACAATGTGATAAGAGAAGTTGCAATTCTTGTGATTCCCCCCTCTTCATTGTTGAAATTGACTTTAATTGAAATAAATTGTGAGTCAACGACCATTATTTTGAAAGTACTTAGACTTTCATGAAACACTCAATACAGATATTATCTAAGAGACAGATGAATAGAACTATAAAAGAGTTGTTGAATTCTAAGTTCAAGTATATAACCCAAGAATGTGGGGGGTTATTTGCTTGTAAACTTGAAATGAAAAGTTCAAAATTTGTAGATGCAACATTACTAAATTGAGGAATTGTGGGGGTAGTTCAGTTTAATAGTTACGTTTGCTTCTATGAAGGTAGAATGATAGAAATGTTGGGAATCTACTTATACATCATAGCGGAATTTAAAATAATTTTCGATTCTTACCAAGAATCGCCTTTGTATTTAGATAGAAATTGTGATAAGATTGTACTTTTTCCAGATCTGCAATCTTTTTGTTTTTCTTTTTGTTCCATCAACCTTGATTCGCCACCATATCTGTCCAATTGTCCAGTCTCCAACGGTAATCCACACAGAAAATAAGATTGCAGCTTCTAGGGTTTTCTCTTGTGCCAGCAAGAATAATGAAAACCATATGGACCTTTTTACGCTAGCCATGTATTTATTTATATAAACCCAAATAGGCTCGATCCGGTCCGGTCCGGTCCAATATTTAATTAATCCAATTAATTAAACTTGGTCCGTGAATTAATTAATCCAATTAATTCGGGAATATAAATAACAAATCCAATTAATTAATTTATCCAACGATTGTTAAATTAACCAATTGGCAATTTGCAATCTTCCAATTCTCTTTTGTGTGCGACCTATTAGGTTGCCTAACGACGTGAAATATTATTTTGATCTAATCAAAATTGATGAATTAAAACACCATTTTAATTTATCGTCAATTCACACTCGCCGTCCCTGATTGACATCTAGCAATGTGTCAGGGACATCTAGCAATGTGTCAGGGCAATACATGTGACGGGAAATGTCACGTGGTATGACAAAACCAAATTTGTTCGTTTACCGTGAAACTATAATCCCTTCGTCAATATGATCTGATCAATTACGAGATATGGAATTGTGTCAATCTCAATCATCGATCATATCTTTCACTCCACTATTAAGTCAATATAAGTCGAAAACTCCTTTTCGACTGATGAGTATACCTTGGCCAAGAATTTCATCATCGACTTAATTGAATGAAACGTAGATTATAATCTCCTACTATCTAAGAGTGACGAATTCTTTATTGATCAATCACAACCTTCATACGATTCTTGACGTACCCGAACGATGTCGTATTAGCGGCCCTTTTCAGAGCAACATCCAACACCGTCAAAGTATGACTGTCCTCATATAAGGTACCATGACGACCTCAATATTAGAGATTAACCAACACCGAATATTAGAGATTAACCACTAACACTCAGATAGTTATCCATGTGGAATCTCTCGACGGGTCTCCAAAAAGTTCTATAACAAAACATCCACGTGTTCATTTAAGTGTCACCACACTTTACTTACTGCACAAGTAAGAAATGCCACACGTGATGGTCTATCCGTAATAACGATATCCGTATCTCGTTATTACTTACGACCACAGATGATTTAAAATTCAATCAGATGTAATTTGTATCTCACAGTCACAACTCCTTGTAATTAACAAATTACAAATATTTGAATCTACGGACTCTATTATTTATTTAATTGTCTATTAATTAAATAATAGATCTGTCATTTAATTGCATTAATTATATATAAAAATATTTATGTCCAAAGTTGATTGAACATAGAGCATAATACTTACAAGAAAACCTTTATACTAATTATAAGGATAATATAATACTAAGTCTAAAGTGGATAAAATGGGGTTGTAAAGCCGATTATGGCGTTTGTTTAGACATGTGATATTTACATTAATTTTCATTTATGTGGGGGATTATTGGAATTTTGCTGGAAATTTTGTATTATTTGGTGAATGACAAATTAAGCCAAAATTTAAATCACTTAAATACGTGAATAATGGAAAAGTGCGTTCTAGAAATTATTTGGCTAAAAAAGTGTCTTTCTATATAAAAGATTATGACTTTTAACATTATTATTTTTCAAGAGAAGTGTCTCTTTAAATATAGAGACTAATTCCAATGGTTGTGTCTCTTCCATAAGTTGAGTCTTTTGAGACAAACGTTTTTAATATCTATATATTGACCCCAATTTATTTATTCAGAAATTTCATTCCATTCCATATTTTACACTTTACTATGCATAAAAAACATATTGAAGAACTGATTATCTTTTGCATCAAAATCATGGTTATGCTACGGGAATTTCGTTCGAGTAATCTTCGGAGATGATTGTCGAAAAATCGTTAGCACCGATGCGGGACAAATTCATCTTAATGAAAGAGTTATACTCGCTAAGGCCAATAGCATCACTTGCATCTAATTTTTTCTTATTTCTGATTTTCATTTCTTCATACTTGATTTCAAAAAATGAT